CCCAACTGGGTCCACAGAAGTCCACTGAACATTGTAGGGCTTAGCTTGCCATTTCATTGCTGCTTTTACCCCACTTCCCCCCATTGGTGATGTGTGTGGTCACCAATCAGAGCGTGTATTTCCGTTGAAGCTTAGTCTTGGAAGGGTTGTCTGTTCTTGCACCTACCCACAAATCACCATTATCATAGCATTGTGCATATGACAGTATTTACCTCTGCACTCCTTTCCATCATTCTGTTGCCAACCTTCCTCCTCTCTTTTACTGTATATTACCTTTACCCAAATTAACATGTCTACCCTGTAACCTATGAATTATCTTATACACAGCCGTTGTTAGTTAAGTGCCACTGAGTCAATTCCAACTCACAGCGACTCTGTATATAGGGTTTCTGAGGAGCAGCTGGTGGGTTTGAATTGGTGACCTTGTGGTTCCCAGTCCAGTGATTATCCTACAGCACCACCCCAGGGTATTTAACTAGTGTGGCACTGTGGGTTAATGTGCCACACTGCAAAGTCGTCTGAACTGCAAGGTCGGCAGTTCAAGCTCACCAGCTGCTCCTTGGAAACGCTATACAGGGTTGCTATGAGTTGGAACCAACTCAACAGCACTTAACAACAACAATATTTTTATAAAAATGCAAAATGTCTTAATATTTTACATTAGTTACCAGTTGAAATGATAGTACTAAATTTATGTAAATTGGGTTAATTAAAATATATATTAATTTCACCTGTTTCTGTTTATCTATTTAAAGTGACAACTGGTTGGCGGTGGTTATGTCCTATGGAGTTGGTTCTGGCTCACAGCGACCCTGTACAGGGTTTCCAAGGCTGTAAATCTTTACGGGAGCTGAAAGCTTCAACTTTCTCCCACAGAACAGCTGATAGTTTTGAACTGCTGACCTTGTGGTTCGCAGCCCGATTCATAACCATTACGCTACCAGAGCTCCTTGTGACAACTAGAAAACTTTAAATAATGTGGCTTCTATTGTATTTCTACTGAAAAGTGCCAGAGACATGAAAAAACTTGGCAATTATGGGCAAATCATACCACTCCTAAATGCCATTAAAATATACAGTATTATTTTTTAAATGAAGAAACCCTTTCCAAAAATGTATAGGCCATTTCCATTTAGAGGCCACAATAAGCTAGCTCTGTGAGAGAGACAAAGGCAAGACATTATAGGTTTCTCCCACTGACAGTAGATTGTGCCTATGAAACCTTTTTAAGGCATAAAGTTAAAAAGCAATTACCATTAATTTATATAGGAAAAAACTGAGAGTTTACAGACCTCCAAAATTTAACCTATGAAATCACACCATATAACACATAAACCCTAAAATCACACTAACATATAGTGCGCACAGTGACTCTTCAAAACTATGGCGGCTGGATGTTAAAACCAGTATTGTTCCTGGGGAAGGAGCTCCAGGACACTAGTCTCCCTGCTCAAGGTATGTGCTGCCTCTTTAACAGCTCACTGCAAAACAAATGCTGAATGCTAGTTTTTAGTTTTTAATTATAAAAGCAAAAATCCTCATCTTATTTCTTTCTGTTAGTGAAAACAGGTATTAATGTAAGTCTTTAATGAAAGTGAAGCAGTGTAATGTGAAGTTTTGAAAAGTACCTGCAACTCAACCTGTTTTCGTTAGGTGCCATCAAGTTGGTTCCAACTCATAGCAGCCCTATGCACGATAGAACAAAACACTGCCTGGTCCTGTGCCATCCTCACAACTGTTTTCAGGTCACTGTCAATGACATGAGTCCATGGTTGCAATCAATGTCAATCTGTCATGTTGGGGGGTGGGGGGTCCTTCCTCTTTTCCAAGCGTCCATTTTGCCAAGCATGATGTCCTTTTTCATTTGCCACCCTCACTTCCAAGGACCATTCTGGCTATACTTCTTCCAAGACAGATTTGTTTTTGTTCATGGTACTTTTAATATTCTTCACTAACACAATTCAAAGGTATTAATTCTTCTTTAGTCTTCCTTATTAAGGCTTAATGGTGGATTAGGGAGAAGTGTGGTACAGAAGTCTGCCAGCAATAACACAGAAGACAGGACAAAGCAGGTTCAGGGGACGGTTCCAGAACTCAGAATTAGAAAGATCAAAGGCTTACAGCCAGTGGAATTTGTAGCAGAAGCAAGATAGGTGGTGTTTTCTGATCTGCGGCTCCCAGCTGCTCCCAGAGCAGCCATCTTGGGTGTGATGTGACAGAGTGGGTGAGGATCAGAGGAGCGCTCCCACCACTCTGATCCTCGGAGATAAAGGTGTAGGCATTCTTGGTTTTTTTCTCTGTTCATTGGTCTCTGTCTGTACACATCTACTTTGGTGACCTGAGAGGGTGCCTGAGCGACTGGACTGCCCCCTCCCCCCCCCCAAAGGTTCTACTATGCATCTGTGCAAGGATCTGCTCAGCAAAGACTACTGCACGCAGAATCTAAGAAGGGGGAAGACAATGCTTAAAACCTAACGGTCTCCCAAAACAGCTACAGCCAGCCCTGAACTGTTTACCACGAGGAAAAAGTCCTGAACAGGAGTTGTGGAGTGCGAGAGAGACAGACTAAAGAGGAAACAGGCTGAAAATTAAATATGAGTTACGTCATTAGGAGCAACAGTAACACCTTGAAAATTCTCAGGCAGCTTTGAAGAAAAGAAGCTGAAACGGGCATTAAAGTCATATTCATATTTTGCTACAGATTTTTTTTTCTTTTCTTTTATGCAGACTGTAGTACCCAATCTGTTTTTTTGTTTGCTATTGGTGTTGTGTTTTTTGGTCCCCCTTTTACCTTCATGGGGCTCTTTCCCTAGGTTACTCAAGAAAAGACAGCAATTGAGCATTTAGCCAAGCTGCAATCACACACTGTAAAATCCCACCATCCAGGCAAGAGCCATACCAGCTGCTATACATCAGATAGACAGCAAACACCTGCTAATAAGAAAAGTAACAAGGGAGGCCCATCTCCTGATCACATCTACCTGGAAGCAATCAGAAAGCTTAATAATACATGAACATACATTCATCTAATTATTGAAAACACACACAATTATTGGAGATGCCCAAGAAACAACTGATGATTTCGGCACATGTCCAAAACAAGATACAGTCAGGCAAATGTGCTAGAGGTAGATCTAGACTTCCCATTAGAAAGAGGGCAGGCTTTGGAACTGCCTGAGAGGGAATTCAGGAGAATGATATTGAGGTGCATCCAAACGCTCCACAGAGGAATTGAGAAAAAAAGGGACAAGTCAGGAAAGTGCTACAGGAACAATCACATAAGATAGATACAGCCTTGGAAATAATTCAAAACCTGAAAAAAGAGATCCAAACGATTACTAATAAAATATCAGAAATGGACAATATACTGAAAGGGCAAAGAACAGAACTGAAGAGATGGAAGCCAGTCTTGCTTATTAATTGTTCAGCTTTCATATGCATATGAGGTGATTGAAAATATCATGGTTTGAGTCAGGTGCACCTTATTCCACAAAGTGAAATCTTTGTTCTTTCTGTAATCATGTTTCCCGATACTCCTTTTTATCCCACTCAAGTGTCTATTTTACAAAAGTAAGAGGGGCAACCAATATTCATAAGATAGTCAAGCACCTTAGTATTATTTCCCCTCTTTAGACTATGCCTCGATCTCTGTATCACAGAGCCCTGTTGTGTTCAGCTTTTTACTCTAACATTTCTTCAGTCGCTTCTGCGTCTCTGTGTTCAAAAGCAAGTTTTAGTCTCTTCTGACATCTACTTTGGTCTTTTCTTCATGGATAATGTTCCTGATGTCATCCCACCACGACTCTTGTTTTCAGACATTGGTGTCTAATGCATATTTGTTCTTGATTGAGATGGTCTCTAAATTTAAGTGGGATATATTCAATATATTTTGGCTCTTGTAGACTTGTTTTAATTTTCTTCAGCCTCAGCCTGAACATACATAAGAGCAATTGATGATCTGTTCCATAGCTGGTCCCGGCCTTAAATTTTGGCTGATACTGAGCTTCTCCATTGTCTCTTCCCACAGATGTAGGCAATTTGATTCCTATGTATTCCATCTGGTGGGGTCATGTTGTTTCCAATCACCAATAATTACCAATGCATTTTAATTGCATGTTTTATCAATTTCATTTTGAAGAAGTTGATAGAATTTTTCAGTTTCTTCATAATTGGCTTTAAGTGTTTGGTGCGTAACTTTAAATAACAGTTGTATTAAATGGTCTTTCATCGATACTTACAGTGCCTCAATAAAATACATCTGCTTATCTACTCACAACCCATTATTTACATTACCAGCATATGACCCCTACTTTTTGAAAAGGCACAAATTCCATCCCCCTAATCTCAATGCACATACATTATTAAATTTACAGACTGTTTCAAGAATTCACCAAGTATTAAGTCCCATGTAGTGAAAAACCTCTGGTTTAAATATATAGAAATCTTGTCCCTACCAGGATAAATATTCAGGAATGAACTCAATTTCCTAACCTTCTTATATCAAGCCATGTGGAAGAGGTTAGACTAATCATATTCATTCAGAAGCAGACAATGATTATGCCAAAATCAACTTGCACTATATATCAAGGATTTACTTACTGTGAACACAGCCCAGGAAAGGGCAGAATGGCCTCCCCCGTGGAGAAGGAGTAGAACTGGACCCTCTGAACCACTCTTGTAAACTCGAAAAGTGTATGAATAGTTAAAGATAACAAATCTAAGTTTTCACACACTAATATTGTAGACTATTTAGTCATAACGACACTAATTAGAAAACACATGCAGCAGCAAACTATATGCAAAGCTACAGACTTCCAAAATTAAGAAAAACTTAATTCTCTAGGTTTCTGAGACACCAAATCTGTTTTGAAGCACATTGTTGTTGTTGTATTGTGCCGTAGAGTCAGTTCCCACTCATAGTAACCCCTGTACAGGGTTTCCGAGGCTGTAAATCCTTATAGGAGCAGAAAGTCTCATCTTTCTCCCGCGGAACAGCTGGTAGTTTTGAACTGCTGACTGTGAGATTAGCAGCCCGATTCGTAACCACTATGCTACCAGAGCTCCTTATTGAAGCACATAGCATATCTTTTATCCCCCAGTGGAAAAAAAATATATTCCCTTTGTTCTAATGAAGATACAACACAGACTTTTTTTTTAAGATATTAAATCAGTTCAACTCACTTGACTCTTGAAACCTTTCCCTGGGCAATTTATATGATGTATCCGGATCCACAATCTATTTCTTAATCCTTTCCCTTGATTAGACAATGAAAGTGAGATACTGACATGGCCTTACAAGCAATATTCCACACTGCATAAATGAGGAACAAAATGAAATAAACAGCAAGAATAAAGGATAATTCAGAAACTTCACACATTTTTTAAACATTGACAGTATTATAAGATTATTATTAATTAACCATTTTGAAAAAGGATATATCTTTGCCAGTTTCATTCTCTACTTCCACATCTTCCATGGACTCAAAGTACTGACTCCAAGAAACAGGGGAAAAGTCTCGCTTTCTTCCAGGGCTAAGGGGGGAAAAGATACATTTCAAGTAAAAAGTATTTATGCATGAAAAGAAAAATTCTTGGTCAACAAATGCTAAACGTAAATATGAAATTAAAATACCAAGGGTATTTTCTTTTAAAGATTGTTTTCACACAAAAAACAAATTAAAGTCTTGTTGTTATGTGCCGTGGGGTCAGTTCCGACTCATAGCGACCCTGTACAGTCTTTCCAAGGCTGTAAATCTTTACGGGAGCAGAAAGCCTCATCTTTCTCCTGTGGAATAGCTGGTAGTTTGTCTAAGTAAGCTTAAATATGCAATTAACAGTACTAATGTTAGATTTTAGGAAATTGATTATTTTAATAACAAAATAGATTCTATACTTATTTTAATAACAAAACAGCCAGTATTCGCTCCTTTCTCTTGGCATAAGCTCATCATATACTCTCACCCAGCTTTAAGATTCCTGCTACAACCATTTTTTACTACTATAGGTCCAGTGCTTATCCTATAGTGCCACTCCAGGAAGGACACATATTACCATTCTTCACACTTTCAATCCTTCACACTCTTTCATACTTGTCATTTTCCAAACAAACAATGTACAATTCTTCATGGAGGATAAACTGGCAATATCAAATATTCTGAATTTTATCTAAAGATACAATGCTCACATATAAGTAAAAATGACTTATCTAGTCAATGTTTGCGAGTGTGGTGGCTCTGTAGAATAAAACTGGACTGGGAACCACAGGTTGGTAGTTTGAGTCCATCAGTTACTCCTAGGGAAAATTAAGAGGCTTTCAGCTTCCACAAAGATTTACAGCCCAGGAAACCCTACACAGTGTTACTATGAGTCAGAACTGACTCTATGGCACTTATTAACAGCAACAACAACGTTTATAATAGAGCAAAATTAGAAACAACCAAATGTACATCAGCAGGGGTTTGGCTAAATTAGGGGATTGGCTAAATCAATTGTGGTACATAAAAAAATACTATTTAGTTGTAAAATGAAAACTTTATATATGAATGAAATTTTTATATATGTTTTGTTGTTGTTAAATGCCATCAAGTCAGTTTCAACTCACAGTGACCTTGTACAGGGTACTCAAGGAGCAGCTACCAAGTTTGAACCACTGACCTTGTGGTTCTAACCGATCTTGTGGCCCAGTGCTAATCCTATAGCGTGACTCTAGGAAGGATACATAAAATAAACAAATACACATATTACCATTTTAGGCAAAAATAACTTACATATGTTGATAGATACCAACCACCACCACAATCAATTTAAGAACATTTTCTCCACCCTCAAAAGAAACTCTGTATCTTTTATAAATCACCCATTTCCTGCCCAAATCTTCTAGGCCTAAGCAGCCAATAATTTACATTCTGTCTCTATGAACTTGTCTATACTATAGAAGTCTTGGTGTGGCACTGTGGATTAATGTGCTGGACTGCAAAGTCGGTTCGAACCGCCAGGTCAGCTCTTCAAGCTTCCCAGCCGCTCCTCGGAAACCCTATACAGGGTCGCTATGGGTTGGAAAGGACTCGACAGCACTTAACAACAACAACATATAGTTCATATAAATGGAATCAAAATAGCGTCTGACTTGGGAGTCCTGGTGTGGCACTGTAGGATAAGTACTAGATTGCCAACCACAAAGTTAGGAGATTCAAACCCACCAGCAGCTGCTCGAAAACCCTATACAGGATTGCTATGAGTTGAAACTGACTTGACAGCACTTAACAACAACAAAAACATATGTAAAGAATTTCATTAACATATAATGTTTTCTTTTTACAACTAAAAATTGTAAATAGTTGCTATGAGTCAGAACTGATTCAAGACACTAATAGTCAATATTTGTAATACAGCAAAATTAGAAACAATCAAATGGACATCAACAGGGGATTGACTAAATTAATTGCGGTACTTAAATACTATTTATGAGATTGATTAAAAAATTATCAGCACTCCAGTTATATTAAAACGCCCATCCACATCCACAGCTGATGACAACATTTAGCATACACATGAAATGATTCTGTAGAATAGTTAAGTGACAGTGGATTATGTAGCAAATTATTTGCAAATCAGCCAGGGCTCTGCCTATGAAATAATCCATGACAGACTTGAGTTTTGAAAAGTTTGTGAGATAGGTACCGAAACAACTCATAGAAGAGCATAAACAGAAGCGTTTGGACATTTGCAAACAAAATTTGGTCTGATACTCAAAGGAAGGTAAAAGTTTCTTTAAAAAAATCATTACTGGTGACAAGACATGGATTCATCACTACAAGCCTGAGAGTAAACGGCAGAGTATGGAATGGAAACATCCTCAGTTGTAGACCAAGAAAAAGTTCAAAAGTCAACGGTTAGCTGTAAAATTGATGCTTAAAGTTTTTTGGAATTCTCAAGGGCCAGTACTGGTACACTGTTTGGAAAAAGGTTCACCAATCAAGTGTTCATTATAGTGAGATGCTCATTGAGGAGCTGAAGCCTAAACTTCGGATTAAACACAGAGCTCTGGTAGCGTAGTGGTTATGAATCGGGCTGTGAACCGCAAGGTCAGCAGTTCGAAACTGCCAGCTGCTCCGCAGGAGAAAGATGAGGTGTTCTGCTCCTGTAAAGATTTACAGCCTC